CCCCCCAAAAAAAAAAAAAAAAAAAAAACGAAACACAAATACACAACACATGGACAAAATAATATTTTTCCAAACTAATCCCCTTACTAATTTTGAAACTCAATCCTTAGAGACCTTTGATGATTCCCTCCTCCAAGGCCTATCATAATCCTAAGGTCATGTTTGATTGAAGGTTTGAGAGGAGGATTGGAGTGTGAGTTAGATAGGTCACATGCATGCCATGTTTGGTTGAGAAATGTGTAGGGGAATTAGTAATCCTCTTGGGCCATGTTTGTTATGTCTCTCAAATGGTGGGGGTGTCTGAGTGTTTTGTTCTCAAGCCTCTTGTTTGGTTATACAATTATTTAATTAATGAGATATACTTAATTAGGCATTTTATTTTTTAACTTCACTTTCTACCCTAAACTATTGACAAATTATCCATATAGTTCCTAAATTTTTAATTAAATCTACTTAATCCCTAAACTATATAATGTAAAATCTATACAGTCCCTGAACTATCTATTTAGTCTCTAAAGTATGTAAATCTAAGCAATTAAGTCCCTAAAGAAGTTATTTAAAATAAAATAGGGTAAATTATGCAAATAGTTTCTGTAGTTTACACAACGTGTCAATTTAGTCTCTATTGTTTCAATTTACTTGATTTTGCCCCTTAATTTAACAAATTGTATCATTTTAATCCAATAAACAACTGTTTTTAAGCTTGATGGACAGAAAGTCAAACTATGTGTCAATTTGATCCCTGTCAAAATCAAACAAATTAAAACAACAAGGACCAAATTAACACATTGTGTAAACTATATGGACCAAATGAACATATTGTTTAGACTTTCCGTCCACCAAACTTAATAACTGTTATTTATTGGACTAAAATGACACAATCTGTTAAATTAAAGGACAAAATCAAACAAATTAAAATAATAAGGACCAAATTGACACATCATGTAAATTACAAGGACCATTTACATAATTTACCCAATAAAATAAAACGCTACAAGTTTAGAAAAATCCAAAAAAGACCCTATTGAAGTTTTATGTTCTAAATTACAGAAATAAGAACTGAAATAAATAATAATTTAGCATATATTTCTAAATTAGAAAATCAATTAATTAGATTAAATTCTTTTTTATCTGTTATTTCTGGACAGTCCAGAGTAACTTATAGCCAAAGAATTGTTGCATCCGTTTGTTTTCACAGATAGGTTAGGTGAGATCGTTAATGCAAGGGATGTTAGTGAGGAACTGTTAGTGTGAGGATAGTGAGAGAACTAAGAAAAATTATTTTTGTTTGTGATATATTTTAGTGAAGGGATTACCTATATGAAATACCATAAATACCCTTTAGTGTTTTTGATATATTTTAATATATATATAGATATATAATAACATAATACCCCCCCCCCCCCAAAAAAAAAAAAAAAAAAAAAAAACGCTACACAAATACACAACACATGGACAAAATAATATTTTTCCAAACTAATCCCCTTACTAATTTTGAAACTCAATCCTTAGAGACCTTTGATGATTCCCTCCTCCAAGGCCTATCATAATCCTAAGGTCATGTTTGATTGAAGGTTTGAGAGGAGGATTGGAGTGTGAGTTAGATAGGTCACATTCATGCCATGTTTGGTTGAGAAATGTGTAGGGGAATTAGTAATCCTCTTGGGCCATGTTTGTTATGTCTCTCAAATGGTGGGATTGTATTACAAAAATCATGGGATTGTTAATACCCCAAATTGTAGGATTAGTAATCCCATGGGGAGACGGGATTCACAATACAATCTCTTGGGATTGGGACTACTCTCATTTTATAAAAATAACAAAGTGATTTTTTATACAAGGACCTTTAGAAAATTTCATAGATTTTGTTCTAAAAAATTAACACAACCACACTAATACACAAACAAACACACTTTATCTTACATTCTCAATCTAATACTACCACAATAATAATCTCCTTACTCAATCCCACCGTACTCATAATCTCATCCAACCTAATCTACAAAACAAAAATAATCCTACACTATGGAGGGATTAGCAAAGCTTGAAAAGACATGGAATTAGATCCAATCCCATGGGATTAATGGATAAAAGACTATTTTACCTCTTAGCCTATATATGACTACAATAATGGAAGAAGGGTAATTATGAAATTTCATAGATTTAATCCCAATCAATTAATACTACCACACTACTACACAAACAAACACACTTTATCTTACATTTCCAACTTAACATCACCACATTACTGATCTCCTCATTCAATCCTACCATACTCATAATCTCATCCAACCTAATTCGTCAAACAAACGTGGCCTAAAAGACTATGAATCCCCTTCCCTATTTTGCAAACAAACACCATTATAGTGGGTGCCACATCTATTCTAATCTAATTCCTTCCTGTATCACTCAAAACAAACGGGAATAGCTTTAGGAAAGGCAAGTGTGGAATTCCAAAGAACAGTTTTACGAGATTTACTGCAATTATGTGGCTATAAGTTACTATGGACTGTTCAAAACCAATAGATAAAAGAAAATTTAATATAATTAATTGATTTTCTAATTCAAAAATATATGCCAAACTATAATTCATTTCAGTTCTTATTTCTGTAATTAAGAGCATAAAACTTCAATAGGGTCTTTTTTGAGTTTTTCTAAACTTGTGGCCTTTTATTTTATTTTAAATAACTTCTTTAGAGACTTAAATGCTTGAATTTAAATACTTTAAGGACTAAATAAATTCAATAGATAGTTTAAGGGCCATATAGATTTTATCTTATATAGTTTAAAGACTAAATATATTCAATTGAAAGTTTTATCTTATCATCGTGTATTGAGTACGACCTGAGGTCAAGCAAGACTAATTTTCTAGCCAAAGTCAAGCTTGATTTTCAAGCTGGAGAAACAAATGAGCAAGCTTGAATAATGCAAAGCCTGGCTCATTTGTAGCCTTAATTGACACAGCCTTTTTTTTGGTTTTTAAGTAACACAAGGTGTAATATATTATTGACTTTTCAACGAAGGCTTGAAACACAAGTGTATGAGACTACCAAACACAACATGAATTTACACATCACAACTTAAATTGGCCTATAATGAATGTCAATGCAACCAACACATTGGTGCGGAACAACACACGAAGAACATGACATGCATACAACAACAATATTATGAGAAGCAACCACCAAAAGTCGAAGAATACAGCTGTGCCTAACACGAAAGGCTTAAAATTTTCTAACTATATGACTTTAATCTCTACCTTCGAAACCAAATGGCCTCACCAGATTACATGGAGAAACACAGCCTCCAAACAGGGGTAAAACCATAGCCTTGAATCAATATCCTACCTTACCAGTATTCGAACATGAAAAAAAAAAAAACGAAAATAAAGATAAACCATTCTTGACTTTAAAAAACAAATCAGATTATACATGGTCGGTTAAATTCATGGATATATTTAAAGAGAAGTTTACTTGACAGATAGGCCAGATTTGATTTTTCATCAATTAATCACTTTTCATATATTTTGGAACTACTGCACCTTACCTCATTGTTAGAACCCCTGGTATATCGAGAGAAATAAAGTGAGAACCGCCAGTGGTACAAAATTGAGATCTCCATCAGCTGGGATTTCTAGCCGTCTGGCGTCATGGGTTGTGGACCTTGAAGCCGAATACTCTTGGAACATAACTCTGTGTTGCCTTTTGTGGTTTGAGATGCCCGTATGTAATAAAAAACAGGTGAGGAAATGTGGTTCCAAAACAAGCTCCATCAATATCTTGGCAAAGTGAAGGAAATCCATTATACAAGAAGTACAAACACTTCTAAGATGGTGGTGTATCCATGTAGGACACAAATACTCATCGAACACTTCAAAGCACATGTTAGTCACACATCCAAAGGTGTCTATTATTTTTAAAATGTGTTCAGGTTTGAACACGCTTTGGATACTTCGAGGGCACGTGTCTATTGTTAAGACATGAACGAAACACAATACAATTTGAACAAAATAACTTTGGGATACATGATTAAAAGAAATGAAATTTACACGTATTAATCCTTGTCTTCTGAAATTAGTCTTATGTTTAATTTTTTTTATTATCTTTGAAGATATTCATATATATAAGATATATAAAAAATATATAATAATCCAAAGTTATTTCGATGCCATAATGATGTGTACATGTGTTGTGTGCGTCTGTTTCTTAGAAGAAACCTATATATGCTAAGAACATAAAGGAAAATACTATCATTAGTGTCAGCAGGTTCAGTAGCATCCACCTTATTCTGATCTATTCATTCAGATAGAAGTTCAGAAATGGAAAACCAAAAAAACAAAAACAAAAACAAAAACAAAAAAAAAGAAGTAATCATGCCTTGACAAAATGCTTGACTTTTTGGCTGGCCTTTAAGAAGAACCTTTCTGATCTCTTAATGGGCCTAGAATATGGCAGACCCAAACTAACCACCTTCCACTTACTCATCTTTCACCATTATAGTGGGTGCCACATCGTAATACTGATTGGGAAAACATAACAAGCAACAGAGAATACATCCCTATAAAAATGCAGCAATAGACACCAAAACAAAACAAAACAAAAGATGTGGAATGGAAAAAGGAAACATAAACAGCCAAAAGCACAACAAAAAAAAAATTGGTGAAATGCAAGGATACTGCCTTGATACTTGGATCGAGGGTAGTAAATATCTTCGCATTTGGGACAGTAAATTTTTACAGTACTCGAATGCGGAATATCTGATTGACCTACTGGAAGGCAGGGTTGTCCACAACAGTAAACCCTCGGGCATCTCCCAAAGTCGAAGTTTTTGTATTTGTCTAGCTGTAGATTATCATGATGACATCTTAACAATGACAATGAGAAATAAAAAAAACAATAAATAATAAATAAATGAAGGAAAAGTAGAAACAACTTAGCTTAGAAACTTACCATTGTTGCCATTCCCTTGCTAGTCAATATGTATCGAACGTGTATCAAACCGTACAACATTTCTGCTGCTGATTCAACCAATTCATTCTGTTCTTCAGTAAACGAGTCACCTGTGAATGTCCATACCGGGGTAAGAAAATGCTTATAAAAAATTCATATAGTCCATCGATTAAAAAATAAAAAATAATAGTCCACTTTTGAAGATGCCATGAAATCATTTGATTACAAGATTCATGCCACATCCTTACTCCGGGCAGAGTAATATCCATTGCATAAATGTACAGGTATAATAGTTTCTCAAGGAAATTTTTAAAAAATAAATAAATCTAAATTCTATAATCCAAGCAATAATATCTTGCAACTTAGAGCAGCCTGGAGAAGATATTCACTTGCATTTAGAGCTATAATTAACCAGCAAACACATGAAATCCCATGAGTAATCTAAAAGGTTATGCAATGATGTTATGTGTGTTGGGTGTGTGTCTTGAATTCTGTGGACCCATATAATTAGTTGTTTTTTTACATGCATTTGGATTAGGGTTGGTTGAGACATGAATCCACTAGGAATCTAATATGTGTAGGGTTTTACTAATGCCTCATTTGGGAACATGAGATTTTAGCCTAAAAGTTAGAAAATTCTCTAAAAAAGTCGAAGAGTCAAAAATTCCTTCCCATCTACTCTACTTTTTGCACTTCTTTTTATAAAAAGCCAAAAAGTCATTCCCAAACACATTAGTTTTTTTCACCTCACATTTTAGCCAAGGACTTACTAAAAAGCCAATTGCCAAACCAGACCTAATTGTATGGGACTAAGCTTTCTTAGGTTTGCCTGCAAATCGCCTATGTAATTCTAATAGTATGCAAAACCAGAGAAGGTTAGGCTTGTAGAGAGGATGGAGTGGGTTTGTACTCTTCCATTGATGTAGTGGAATTTTCTCCCGGCCATGGACGTACGCAGGTTTGTGCCGAACCACATAAATCTGTGTCATTGTCTTTCTCTTTGGTGTGTGCATGGTGTGCTTCTATTTGCGCTCGAGAGATGTGCAAAAAATCCCAAAAGAGGTATCAAAACCGATGACTAACAATCTATGGATGGACTCTCTTGAAGCATCGATGTCAGTGGGCTTAGGCTTGCATAGAGACCCTCGATTGAGCAAGAAAATTCCTGGTGCACGTGATAAGGTTAGACTAGAGCAAGGTGGCTCTCGATGGAGTATGGTGGCTCATAATGGAGTGTGTGCAAGTGACCTTGGTCAGACTAGGTGTTGGAGAGTTTATAGATCAGGATTAAGGGGGAGTGAGTACGGTCAATGGTGAACCTACGAATGATGGATCAGACTCGGGGGCGAACAAGGTGAGGCCCGATGTTTGGGTCACACATGAGGGGAAGATTGTTAGAGAGCATGTGTGAAGGTTGAGCCCCACATCGGACAAACAGTAAAAGAATAAGAGGAGTAAAAGAAGTAGGTCTTAATACACATTAGATGGACTCTCCACTATGGGGTTTAAGCTTCTAAGTGAGTATGAGTTCAAACAATGTATGTTGGGCCCTAAAGTTATGCATCTGAACTCTAGAATTTCCCCTTGATGGATTGGGTTAGTCTCGCTATGCATTTGTGGGCTCCCAATAACCCCAACAATGGCTTTGTATAGAAAAAATCAAGAATTCCCCCATGAGTTGAGCACAATACCATGAACCAAAACCTTTGACTTCACCTACCCCACCGCACAATTAAAATCACCTTCAAACAAACAGCAAAACTGCCTCACCAGCACTGGTTATTTGAGGCCTTTCAAGAGAGATAGCCATCTGATTCCAACATGACTTAGGAAGGGCAAGCATTGTGGTTCGTCAAAAACTGTATTAAAAAGAAAAAAGATGCCTACAGCCAAGACATCCATCAAAACTAAATTTCAATTTCCCCTTGGTCAAGGAATCTAATAAGCCCAAGAGAAGGTCTTGGTAGTGATTGGTTATCCTGAAAATTTGTGAGTATTTTAAGAAAATAGTCAATTATAATATAGGGCAAACTTTACTTTACCTCCCTGTGATTTAAGTCATATGTGGTTTACCTCCCTAACATTTGGAAATGATCACATAACCCCCACGTGGTTTGTGGACCAAAGTGCACCGTCCACTTTTCCATTCAAGTTAACTGGCTGTGAGTTCCACACGCCCATGAAGAGAGTAGGTTTTATTTTAAGACCAAAATACCCCTTGCACATCTTCAAATTTGCAAAAGTATGCCATTCTTCTTCCTCATTCTCTCTCTCTATTATTCTCTTTCTATTCCTCAACTCCAACCCACTGTACCACACTTCCCTAACCTTGCCTGCCACTGCCACTCTCCCCCCACACCTCCCACCCCACCGCCTCTCTCCTTCCTCACCACTATGTCCCGTCTCCTCTCACTGATTTGCAGATTTGCAACACATAACTTCGCTGCACAGAGCATAGCCCCTTGATTTGCATGAACGCTACAAGTTCGCAAAACACATGCTATTGGTCCAAAGCAAATGCAACAATTCATTTTATAATTCAGATTCCTTCTCCATTAATATCATTGGCCATTTGTTATTGTATGTGTGTGTCTATATATATATGTATTTAAGTGTATATATATTTGTATCTCTTTGCACAGTTATATATATAGATGTATATATTTTTAATTTTTAATAAGATTAAATTATATACACTTTTTATCCATTACAATTGGTAATGGTGGTTGAATTGAATAGATTGATGGTGGCGATTTTTCAGTTTTGTTTTGGTAACACTGTTATTTGTTCATATACATAGTATATATATGTATATATATAATGTAATATGTGAAAAATGCTGGGTTTTCTAGTGTTTCGCATCAGCCAAAATTTTTTGAAGTTGAATTGTTTGAGTTGGCAGAAGAAAGAAAATATGTGTATATATCTATATGTGTGTGTGTGTGTGCGCGCGCACGCGTGCAAGTTTAATTCAAAAGAAAGAAGAGAAAGAAGACGAGGGCATAAAGGTCAATTTGCATGTTCTGTTACCAGAAGTTAGCATGCGTTTTAATCCACAAGCCACGTGGGGGTTATGTGGTAATTTCGAAACAATAATGGGTAATCCACACATGGCCCAAACCACAAGGGAGTATAATATATTTACTTAATTTACATAAATATAACTTTTGATAAGTAGAATATATCAACTTCAATATATTACTTAATTTACATAAATATAACTTTTGATAAGTAGAATATATTTATTCAACTTGACATGCTGAAAGGGCACAACCTTTAAGCCGGAAGTATACAAATAGTTGAATTAACAGTCAAATAGTTGTTTCATCACATAAAACCATACGATAAATCTTGTATGCAATGCATCTCTTTGAGGAATCACATAGATGATAGATCACAATGATATTTCAAAATTTCAAACTATGGAGCATAGACATGGAGGACAAGTAACACAGCAAAGAAATGTTGACACGTCAATTTTCAAAAGATGTAGGACACAATACACCTAGGACCTGTTAAAATTTTATATTTTTATAAATTTATTATATATCAAATACATGAATAGTTTATTCAAAGGTAATAAAAATAAAAATAAAAGTAATATAACACTAATTAAAATTAAAGACATATATTCCATAATTTAACATAACAATTGCATCCGAAAAAATGCAAAAATGGTTGTAGAACATTCAAATACACATAATGTGTATTCATCTTATAAATGATTCAAAACGTTTTTAGAGTGCATGAGTTGAATTCCCAATTATGCAAAACATTGTTACTATGAACAGATACATCACGTCATGTTCGGAGAGTTCAAGAAGTGTTGTTAAACTGTATGTAAAGTGTCCGATAGTATGAATTTAAATTTTTAATTAAGAAACATTGAAGAAGTGTCGGACATTCTTTTAAGAGAATCCGCAGAATGTTGTGTCCAACACAATTGACCAACACTACATGCCTACATAAAAGTCTCCATGCTTATTAGATTGCAAGTATAGAAGATGCAGTTATAGAAAAGAGATCATTAATACTCTAAATCCCCAAGTAGCTTGCTCTAATTATCTGTCATAAAATTGGTTAGATCTAAATATATATATATATATATAATATCAAAGAGGAAACTGAACTGTAGTATTCATATCTGCCAAAAACTATACTCTGGACGTACGTAGTTTGAAAGTAATTTGACTTGAACATATTGAAATACTTACCATGAGAGGATTCAACATCTAGAATTAGATCCAACGCATAATCATAATATGGAACTAGGCTGCTTAACCCACAAAGATTAAAATCATCTTGGATGTATTCATCATCAACTTCACAAAAAAATTCATTTCCTCGCAAATTGCAAAACCAAGAAATCCAAGATGTGTCATCCCCATCAGAACCACTAACATCAGATTCCTCACTGTCCGTCTCAGATTCCTCTGCAATATAGCAAACATGAGCACATTAATTTCACTGAAGTGAGAGTGATTACATGTATTACAATTATGTGTATTTCTTAGGGGAGCATTTGTGCATTTTATGTATAAACAGATTGCAAGAACTATTTTTTCCTAGTTGTGGCAAAAAAGAACAGAAGGCAAGAGGTTCAGGAAATCTTATATTATTCCAATTTATTTGCCATTTTTTAACCTTTATTTTTTTTTTTGTAACTAAAAAGATTATATTCAAGAGGCACTAAGGGGTGCAGCCCATATACAAAAGAAAACATATCACAGCTGTATGTCAAAAACATATTCAAAAGCTTCTACAGAGCACAAAAAGTGGTTCAATGATAGATTAACCACCTCCTACAAACCAACTATACAAAAGACACAAAAGTCTACTCTCTAATCTAAAAATTGGTGCTTCTTCTCCATCAAAAGTTATTCTATTCCTTTCTCCCCAAACTAACTACATCAAAGCCAAGGGGACCAAATACTACGCCTTCTTCCTCATCCTCTCACTCAAGCTGCTCTCCAAGTACAAATCAATTCCCTTATCGTCCCATCCCAGGTAACACACATTCCAAACTAAAGCTTGATTAAGAATAGCAAATTTGCAAATGCCCAAGCTCCCCTCTCTCAACAATGTACACACTGCATCCGCCAAATAATATTTAAACTCATCTACTATACCCCCTAAAGGAAATCACGCAACAACTCCTCCAATCACTCAACAACAAAAGGCGGCGGGATGGTAAAAACTGACACAAAGTTGGTTTGGAAAACTGGATAAGGTGCATTTAATCAGACTCAACCTAGCAACTTTGGGTGCCCAATTTATTGAATAATGTATTCTTGTTGGGCACACCAGCTCCTTAACCCTATTAGGCTCATTGAGTTGAAGCGCGTCTAGTGAAGGGACAAATAGAAGTGATTGACGGCCAAAAAGGCAAGTGATCACAGAATTTCCATAACCCGGCCCAGCAAAACAAAGTTTTATCAATCTAGTACAACGAAAAACCAATTAAATATCCAATTTGGCACAATACATACCGTGAAACAACTTGTTCAACCACAATTTTGGATCGCACCGATAAACTGGGGTGTATCCAAATTGGAGAGAGCAAAAACCTAGTTCAAACCAACCATTGATGTAACACCCCAAATAACACCACGTGCCATAGCCATATTTTTTTATTTTTTGGCATTGGAGTGTCCCAATCAAAGCCTGACTAATCCCCAGGGGTGTACAAGCACTCAACAAGGGGTTTCCCGCAAGTGCACCATGATTAATTCAAGAGTTTTTCCATAATCTGATGGCCCCAAGAAATTGTTAGTACCTAAGAGGTTTTGATCCCTGAACCTTGGAGGGAGCATACCCCCAAGACCTAAGGCCTTGCCACAAGGTCAACCCCTTGGGGTTACGTGCCATAGCCATATTAATTTCATCTTTTAATAACTTAACTCAATTAGTTATCTCATTACACAAAATAATTAATGTAAAGCTTAGACATGAATAGTTAAGATGAATTTTCTTGTCAACTATTAAGAGTTAAGAAGTAGTCACCTCTTGAATTTACAAAGCAAGTATGTACCACACTGTAAACATTTTTATGTGAAACGATCGAATACTTACCCTAACTTAATTACCTTACATTACATTCGAAATAGAAATATAATTTATTAGGATCACAACTTAGAAGATTAAAGTTAAGAGGGTAGTTGTGTAATTGTCTACTTGTTACTTATTAGTATAAATATACCTAGTTAGAGAGGACAAACCAATTGATTAGGTTTTGTGCCTCCTTAATTCATCAATCTCTCTTATTCTCTATTCCATCATCTTCTTCTTTCTCTCTTAAATTTCTTCTTTTATTTTTAACTTAGTATCAGAGCACAGAAACCCTTTGTGTTTTCTTTGTTTTCATGTTTTTCTTCTGTTGTTTGAACATGTTAAAAAAATAAAAAAATTCCCAGCATGCTCAACTAGGGCTGGAGAGTACCCCCAAAAAAAATCAAATTTTTTTGTGATATTATTTGCCTTTTTTTCGATTTTTTCTTTGTTTTTTAGAATTATGGATCTTTTTTTCGTAATCGCCCTTCAAGCCTATTTGTGCTTGATCTATGGCTTGGGCTCCCTTCCCTAGCCTGTTTGGTGCATCCCTTGGCTTCGTTTCCCACTTTTGAGGTATTTTTCGGCGGTTGTTGGGTCTTCTAGTTCTGTCGGGTGTGTTGTTCCCACTAGTTTTGGGTTGTTCTGCTGCTTACAGTTTCGTTTGGTGGAGATTTACTATTTTTGGGATGTTCCCTTCATCTCAATTTTCCATCTGGTTGTGTGGTCTTAACTCATGGCTGCAAAGGGTGTGCTTCCTGCAAGTAGTGAGACTAAAAATTTGGGCCTTAGTGTGACGCTTGGTGACAACTCTTCTCTTCAACTTACCTCTGTTAAATTGGATGGTACCAATTCCTTGGTGTGGTCCCGTTCTTTTCAGTTGGCTATTAGTGCCCATGGCTTGTTGGGATACATCAAAGGCATTATTCAGGCTCCCACGAAGGATGGCCCAACCCATGACAAATGGAATAAGGTGAATGCCCTCATTATGACCTGGTTGATAAATTCTATCCATTCCCATATTAGCCCTTTATTTTGATGGACATTGCTCATGAGATTTGGAATGCTACACATCAGATGTATTCCTGACGGAGTAATGATGCTTAGGCCTATGAACTGCGAAAAAAGATTCAGGATTTTGATCAAAAAGATAGATCTCTCGCTAAGTACTAGTCAAAGTTGAGTAGCTTGTGGCAGGAACTTGACTATTATCAAAATTTCCAGACTGTGTGTTCCCAAGATGCTACTAAGTTTTAGCAGATGGTGTCCAAAGAGAATGTGCATGACTCCCCTGTTGGTCTTAACATGGAGTACGATCCAATTCGTATTCAGGTTCTTGGTCGTGATCCGTTTCCTATCGTGCGTAAGGCTTATGTTTATGTTCTACAAGAAGAAAGTAGTCGGAGTGCTATGGTTCATCAGCCTCTTCAAGATTGCTTTGCTTTGGCTGTTTCTTCTACACCTACTGATGGGAAATTAGGTCAGTCCAAGTCTGGGGAAAAAGGCTCCTTTAATGATTAGATTATTTGTGATTACTGCGAGAAAGAACGTCATGATCGGGACCATTGTTGGAAGTTGTATGGTCATCCTAGTCAAGGATAAGGTGGTGGTCGAGATAACCGTGGTGGTACTGTTTGCTCTCATGCACATCTCTCAGTCGTCTACCACTACTTCGAGTGATCCTGTAGCACTTTCCCAAGACGAGTTACACACTCTCCGGCGTCTGATGGCTTGGCTTAATTCTTCTCCTGGCTACTGCTTCTGATCCTCCTTCCTCCAACTTTGCTTCCACAGGTATTCCTTCCTGTGCCCTAAGTGTTGGCTCATCATCTCCTTAGATTATTGATTATGGTGCTACAGATCATATGACAGGTTTGTCTCACCTTTTTCACTCTTACTCCCTTTGTTCCGACGAGGATAACGTGAGAATTGCAGATGGGTTTTTATCCTGTGTCTCTGGGACAAACTCTATTCATTGTTCTCCTTTTATGTCTGTATCATCTGTTATACATGTCCTAATTTTCTCTACTAACTTACTCTCTGTTAGTTGTCTTACCATTTTAAATTGTTCCATAACTTTCTATCCTTCTCATTGTGTCTTTCAATAGCTAGATACGGGGAGAATGATTAACAGTGATAAAGCACGTGAGGGCTTATATTTTTTGGATGCTGAAGACTTTTCCACGAGACAAGCTTTTTAAACTACTGGCACTCTTGGACTTTCTCTTTTACATCAGTGGCATCAGCGTTTAAGGCACCCCCTATTTTTGTTTTAGGCAAACTTCTCCCTAGTTTAGTTAAGGATTGTCATAGGCATACTTTTCATTGTGATGCTTGTGAATTTGCAAAACATAAACGTTTTTGTTATCCTTCCATTAATAAAAGAAACTTGTGTCCCTTTATGGTTATTCATTTTGATGTATGGGATCCCTCTCTCGTGTTATGTCTGTGTCTGGTTATCGTTGGCTTGTCACTTTTATTGACTGTTATTCTCGTATTACTTGGATTTACATGCTTCGTACCAAAAGTGAAGTTTTCTCTTGTTTTAAAACATTCCATAAGATGGTTCATACTCAATTTGCCACTCTTATTAAAGTACTTTGGTGTGACAATGGCATTGAATATATTGATGGCGCATTTCGGGCGTGCCTCGAAGACCATGGTATCCTTTATCAAACCAGTTGTGTTGGTTACCCCGAACAAAATGGTGTTGCAAAACGGAAAGACTGTTATCTTTTTGATGTTGCTCGTGCTCTTATGTTCACAATGCAGGTTGCTAAACCATTCTGGGGTGATGCTGTCCTCATCACTGCTTATCTTATTAACCGAATGCCTTCTAGTGTTCTTCAGTTTCAATGCCCCTTCGACCTTCTGCCCTGCACTTCTGTGTCTCCTATCTCTCTTCCTCCTAAAGTGTTTGGTTGTATCTGTTTTGTTCATTCCTTTCGCATCACTCGGAGCAAACTGAATCCTAAGGTTGTATGCTGTGTTTTTCCTTGGTTATTCCCCTACCCAAAAAGGCTATAAGTGTTATGATCCTCACTCACATAAATTCTATGTTACTATGGATGTTACCTTTTGTGAGTCTGAATCCTTTTTTTCAAGTCAATCTCTTCAGAAAGAGGTTTCTATGGAAGAGATTGTTTCTTCTGATCCTATTGATGTTACCATTTGTGGTGAGGGAGAGATGCAAACTGAGTGTGTTCAGGGGGAGTCTAATAGGTTGGATGGATTAGATCTCAAGACTTACTCTCGACGACAAAAAGAACAGTCGTCTCATGTGCTGCCATGCCTATCAGCCATATCCAGATCCAGTTACTAATCCCTCTGTGGACCTTTCAGGTAATGAGTCCTTGGCCACTACTCCCATTCCTGTTGATGATCT